AGTCATCACAACAAGGACATCTAATATCCAATTACTAAGTCTAACAGTATCAAAGACACCAAACTAAATGAATAAAATATTTCATGTACGAAACTAAGGACGTCATGCCATGAACAAGAGAATCCAATAGGAGCTTGAATGAATAGCTCACCGTGAAACCTGATATGTTGGAGACTGGCTAGAGCTGAGCGCAATTTGAAGTCATTGGTACAATAGTTGCACTCTATAAAATAAAATCAAAGAATAACACAAGTCAGGCTCAGTACAGGACAACATGTACTGAGTAGGTATCATCATCCAACCCAAAATCTAAACTAATATACAATGAATAATAATATGAACTCAACTATAGCACTTAACAGGTGATAAGCAACAAACAACATGAACAAGTGTCAACAACATTAAAGTAAGTATGTAATAAGTCAACAATGTCAAGATCATCCATGAGGACTCATGCCTCCAACTAAATCATTTAGGGGATTGAGTTCTTTGAGATTGAGTACATTCCGTTAATTCAATATGTTTTTGCTTTATATTATTGTGTCGGAACGTGACACTTTGATAAAATTATACCGTGTCAGAAAGTGACACTCTGATCCAAAAATATTGTGTCGGAATGTGACACTCTGATTCAAGAATACCGTGTCGGAGCGTGATACTCTGATTCAAGAATACCGTGTCGAAATGTGACACTCCGATCCAATAATATCATTAATTTATCATTTATTATCACCACTTTTCAGTATTTCGTCAACCTTCTTTATTCAAGACATCACTTCATAGAGAGGGTTCAAGATTATAAATTTTATGGTCTCAGGATTTCAGACCATTCACAGACCACACAATCACACAATCACACAATCATACAATCACAAATCACACAATCAAGTACATAGATAACTTCACAGTATCATTAAATGCATATCAATCAATCACTATGAAGAGTTAATATCAAATAGCATAAACCATAACCTACCTCCACCGAAGAACCGGAATCAGACAAGCTACTTCTCCAATGCTTTTCTTTTCCTTAATAAGAACATTTTCAATCTATTAAACATGTATTATTTATAAGTAAACGGATCTGTAGACACTTATGTTACTATATGTCTAGCCTAGACCCAAGATTCACCAAATTTTATAGTCAATTTCCCTAGTTCAAGTATAAGGGTAAGTCTACATTCCTCCAATTATCATAACTTTAATGGTATTGAACTAATACAGTACACAATATTAAATTATCTATCTCAATATATCAAATTTTAATTTATAATATTATAACAAAATTGTACTGTTTAGAAACGAAAGCCACTGATTACGAACCAGTGACACGCAGTCAGCTAACATCTCAATTATGTACGCTTGCACTTATATATTTCAATGCACACATCACTAACCAAATGCTGCCAAAATAATTTGATAATCATTACTAATAATTACAGCAACAATATATATCTGTACATATCACATTAACAATATAAAATTGACAATCTACTTCTTTTTCCCAACTTCACTCTATAATATAATAAGAATAATAACATGACATTTTATTTCAATTTATGTGATACAAATAGAACTTGTAGATTCATTCAAACTTTATATAATTTTAAAAATATTTAATGTTGTTAATTATTGTAATGTATAATAACTTTTACCTAATTTTAAATTATATGTATTACTCTTTTTGTCCCAATTATGTGGAATTCCAAAAGTCAAATCAATTTTTTTATGTCTTTTAAATATTTTCAAATTGTTAATTATTGTAATTTATAGCACTATGTACGTATTTTCAAATAATATATGTTACTTCATCTATTCCAACTTATGTGACATTGATAGAAATTTGGGAATCAATCTATTTTGATATGTCTTTTATATATTTTAATTTCTTAATTAATGTAATTTAGATCAATATTTATAGGATAGCGGCAGGACTTGCTCCGGGCTTTAGCAAAATCCCTTGAGACTCATCTACGAGGCTTAATTCTGATAGACTTACAATCTAAGCACCGGACTGTATGTCCTAAGAACGCTCAACGCCTAACTTTCGGGGCCACCTAACATATCTTATACAAATTATGTGTTATAAATTCTTTAGTTAGCATTGTTGACTCTCATAATCTGTAATAAATGAATGTTACTTAGTAGTTTTTTCATCTATAGAAATAAAAAGATTGAGAGTAACTCAAATAAGAATTTGTAGTATCACATATTTACAATTTGGTAACACTGTGAGAGTGATTATATGTTACGTGACATTTCTTTTAAAAATTTATAGCGAAATTTTACCTTTTCATTTATCATTGATCTTCCTATTTTTTTTTCATGTCATATTTTATTATTTAACTATTTTGAAGTAATTTTATTTTTACCTTGATGGATTGATATTTTTATTATAATATGGATAATTTTTATTTCTTATTTTCTTTTAGCGGGTAAAATTTATAGGTATGGTAGTAATATATTTTTACAAATAATGATTCTTTTATTATTACAAAGTTAAATATTAGAGTTGATTTACATCTCATAATAATCTTTATATCATTACATTATTTATAATTGTAAAATTAGGTTAGAAGTTTTATTTTCTATGTGTTCCCGGATTACTTTAAACTATTGATGTATTTTTATAATTTTAAAATATTATATTATTTTATTATATTATAAATTAAAATTTAAAGATCGCCTATGATAGGTAAACTCTCCGCCTCACATAATCCACCTATTGTCTCCAAAGTACCCTTTCCATTCACCTATTGACTCTAAAATACCCTTGTTATCCACATTTGGGTACAAAATAGACCACTTATTTTGACAGTTTTAAATATAAACTATTTAAATATTTTTTTAAATACATGACGCTCAATTATTTGTTATAATTTGACTTATTAATATAATTTATAAATCACTCCACTATCCACCCATTACTAATTAAACTCCACCAAATTAATAAACCCGTCACATTACTAATGCAACAACAGGAAAGCTACTGCCAATCAGTGTTTTTAAAAATTTGAGGCGAAAATATCTATAGAAGTAAATTATCATACATTTAAGTGTCTAAATAAAAATTACCAATAAACTTAAAAGTCTTACTATGTTCATCTTTTAATTATTCTTTCATCTCAATTATGTGATGTTACTTTATAGATAATTTTTTTTAAAAAATAATATATTAAAGGTTTTAAAACAAATCATAAATATTTATAAAAATATATCTAAAAAAAGTTCATGAATTAATTTGGGATGTACTACTTCTTTACCTTTAATCGTAAATTTCGAATTCAAGATTTTAAGAGAATCCTATTGAAAGTGTCCTCTTAAAGCGGCTCAACCTAAATTTAATTAGGACTTTGATTCGGATTTGAATAATTTTGGATGTCATTTTTAGAAATTTATAATTTCGTCTTGTTTTAGTAGTGTTTATGACGATTTTAATATTATAATTGATTTATTAATTGGATGGGATTTAGTTAGTAATGAGAGGGTAGTGCGTTGGTTTATAAATTATATTGATAAATTAAATTATAACCAATAGTTGAGCGTCAAGTATTTTAAAAAATATTTAAACAATTCAATTTTTAAATAGTTAAAAAAGTGGTTAATTTTGAATCCAAAAATGTATGACAAGGATATTTTGGAGCCAAATGGAATGTAATTTTAGACCATTTTCAATACTTGAACGTTATTTTAGGTCCTTTTCCGTTTAAAATATTGATTTATAGTTCTTTTTACATCACTTTCAAATAATATTTTTCACTGTCTGACCCAGTTTATGCTACGTAATTTGTAAATATATAATAAATTAAAAATAAAATAAAATAAAGGCCTAAGTCATATGCTGCCCCTCAAAGTTGTCCGCATATTTCACTTAGGCACCTTAACTATACGATGTTCCTATTGAACACCTTATGGTTCAAAAGTCATGCCCATTGAACACAAAATGCTGACATGTTAAAAACGTGTGGTTTACCCTCTTTAAGCGCGTAAAGATACAAAAATAATTTTTTCTCTAACTTTTACACCTATATTAATATTTTTTTAAAAAGAAAATAATTAAAAAAAAAAGAAAAGAAAGAGTTGCTTCTTCCCCTGCAACTATGCACAACCCACCCCTATATTTCCCGTACCTACAACAATCCATCCATATATTTTCGTACCTGCAACTATGCACAACCCACCCCACGCCCTGCACCTCTCTCTTTCTCTCACAATTTATGATTCTTCTCTTGCTTTTTTACTTTTTTCTTTTAGATCTACGTCTCAAATATTAATTCGGCGAATTATTTGTTACCAGAAAATGTTATAATGATAATTATTTCACGATCAAAGCCACGAAGATAATGCACTAGTATGTCAGTGAAAGAGATAAAATTGAATGAAAGCGAAGGAAGAGGCATGACGTTGATTTGTTGGCGTCGTAATTGTCGCCGGTGGCGGTGAAGACAATAGTTCGGACGGAGTTAAATAAAACAATAAAAACAAAATAAGTTTTATATTTATAAAATTATTTTTGAATTATTTAAATAGAGTCTTTTAAAAAAATTTAACTCAATCCATGTGTCATCATTTTATTGGTGGGTAATTTTTTCAAAAAATTCTTTTCAATTTTTTTTAGTTAGTAAATAGACCAAAATAATTGTATTTTAGAATATTATTTTTTAAATAAATTTTTGAATTTAAATGCCACATGTCATCATTTAATTCACCAATTTGTCATGTCATAACGAGTGCACTACACACATCTCATATATTTGGCTGATTGTCGAAATATATCAAATAGGTATCAATTTTAAGGGGTATAGGTGTTCAATAGGTACTAGACTAATTAAGATGTCCAAATGAATTATGTGGATAACCTTAAGGCTACACATGACTTAAGCCTAAAATAAAAAATATATATGAAATAATCGTATATTATTCTCGACCAATAACAAACACATCTAAGAGGCGACAACTTCCCGTCGTTTCTGTACGATTAAAGTAAAATGTGAGTAGATTGTAGAGGTGCTCTTTGACGCACGGTGAACAAGTTAGCACCTCCAAATACGAGTCACCAAAAAACTATTTTTTTTTTCTTATCTAACAGTAGAATAAATATTTAAGTATTTCTTCAGGAAGAAAAAAAGAAAAAGAAAATCGACCTTCCTTTTCCAGTTTCCCCTGCCTCCCCAATTTTCGATCAACAAAAAAATTCACAAGGAATCGAAGCAGAAAGCATCAAGAAAGTAGATACAGAAGAAGAGGAAGAAGTTTTTGAGGAAAAAGTGAAAAGGGGTTCAAGAAAAGATCAATCTTTCTTGCTTAGAGATGGCTCTAATGCGCCTTCTCACACAGGTCTCTTCTTTTCACTTTTATCAGATCTTTCTTTCAAAGATGTAATCTTTTTTTTTTTCATTTGTTTTCTGTTGATTTTTGTTGGGTTTACTTATAATTGGAGATTTCTTGGCGTGTTTGGTTATAAAAACCCTAATACTGGTTTTTTTATACTTGTTCAGTCTTCTTCTTAGTATTATGCATTGAAGTTTACTTTTATTATACAGGTTGAAAGGCAGCAACCTCAATTGAGGCAGCTAAGCAATTTTCTCAATAGAACCTATCTTACGTCTAGAGAGGCGATTGGAGGTGGAGGTATGCTTTGAAGATTTTGTATTTACAAAGTGGAAGGCGTGTTTCCTTCTTGTAGAGATAATAGTGATTGATGGTTGACAAATATAAACAAAAATGGCATAGTTGGCTTCATGGAAATAATGCTTGTTATTTTTACCTAGATGTTTCTGGTATCAACAAAGAGTCGATCCTCTATATTGTTTAGACTGCACAATGGTCATACCTACAATGTCTAAAATGCCATAGATCCATACTGATTAATGCTCTCTACTGTACACCATACTAGATATGGTTATACTAGTGAGGCAAAAGCAATCAAAGAAAAGGTTTTGGCTTTTATATTCAGAGTTGGTATAATTCTTAAACCAATACCGAAGTGAACAAAAAATGCACGCGATTAAGAGTCTTCAAGGAAAAATGGATCGAGCTCGTCACACTAAGCTTGTCTAGTGCGGGTTATATCTCCCGTGTGGTGTGCGAGCTATTGCATAGGAGCAAAATTTTTATCCTATGCGAACCCAAAGGGTACCGGCTGCGGGTCTCCCTTGTCATAAATGAAAAGAGTCTTCAAGGAAAGCCTCGAGGATAGAAGACTTAGTATTAAGTTGCAGCACACAATGTACTAAAGTAGAATGTGAAAAAGAGCAGACGATATTTGAGGTCAAAAATTGAGCACTTTAATAATGAAGACATAGTTGACAATGTTGGTAGGTAAAAGAGTGGCATATATAGTTGACAGTGTTGGTAGGTAGAGGAGTCGCATAGGATCCCGATGTTGCTAATGTATGTATGAAAGGGATGTAGTTCTGTTATTGAGGTGGCCTAGTGGTCTATGAAGTTCAAATCCCAGCAGAGACAGAAAACACTAGGTGATTTCTTCCATCTGTCCTGTCCTAGCTATGATGGGAGGTGACAGGTATCCCGTGAAATTAGTCGAGGTGCGCTCAAGCTGGTTTGGACACCGTGGTTATAAAAAAAAGGTTTTTACCTTATATCACCCTGCGCAAACTGCTTTCACTTAAAGATTTCTTGTTGTTGATACTTATTTATAAAAGTAATAATTGGTACTACCCAGTAATTGATAAGTGAAAATTCTGGTGAAATTTCTCTACTGTGTTGGCTCTTTAGTTGCATGTTCTGAGAAGAATCTTGATTTTGCCCTTGAAATCAAGTTATGTTATCAAAATTTTGTCCATTTTCTGATAAGTAGGTTTCATAATGTTGACGGTTGGCAGGCACTATTCACCGAGTTGAGAAGGCTGTGATTGGTCCAAAGGGCAGGTCACAGGCAGCTTTCTCGGTTATCAAAAAAAAAAATAGTGTTGACGGTTGCCTAGATTTTACTTCATAAGATATTTCTTGTGCTTTAGAAGAGAGTTGAAAAGCAATTTATGAGTAATGTGCTTTGTGAATTATGCATCTTCTTGATGCTCTTTTGTGAATGAAATACCCTACTTTATCAACAAAAAGAAGTGCTTTACGAAGGTGAAAATAGCAATCTCTTTAGTTCTGTGTGATCACCTTTTTTTAATACTTACAAGTTTTTTGAGCCTTCAAATGAATGAAGAACTCATCACCTAACATGTTAGCCTCTACTTTTTTTGGCAAATTGCAGACAAATGGCTGACATTTAGACCTTCTGACAGTTTGTTGAACGAGTACAATGTACATTAGATGTTGCAAGTTAAAAGTTTTAAGTCCTAAAGAAGTTTCTGGCTTCTTCTGGTTTAATCATTTTTGTATCACCTTTCTCAATGTATGCATTGACTTTTTGTTGCATTCAATAGAAGGAGATGAACAGTTATATGATAAATTCTCTTTCTAAATTATTATTACCTTACTGACATCTTGGCAGAGTGTAAATTTTTTTCTAAACTATTATTACCTTACTGACATCTTGGCAGAGTATGTTGTAATCCTCTAGTTTTTTCCTATGTGCAGTACATGGAGCTGGAAGAACCAAGGGAAGGTTTCGATCAAGTTATGTTGGAAGCCTAGCCCGGCGGGCACGTGAAACGGAAGAAACTACTGATGCAGCATATCTGAGAGAGCTATATCATAAGAATGATCCAGAGGCAGTCATAAGACTGTTTGAAGGCCAACCTTCACTTCATTCTAATCCAGCAGCACTCTCTGAGTATGTTAAGGCACTGGTTAAGGTTGATAGATTAGATGAAAGTGAGTTGCTCCGGACATTGCAGAGAGGTGAGACCTAATAAGAGAGTCCATCTCTCATGAGCTTGGACTGTTGATTTGGCTTGGCTTTGAGAATCAGTTATTTTACATTCTTGATTTTGGGGCTTCTGATAAGTTGATAGGAGATATACTAATTAGTGTTTGACTAGTGTGGTCTTTCAGGGATTGGCGGTACTGCTAGCTCTCATGCAGAAGAAGCAAATATGGGAGCTCTTTCAGCTTTTAGGAATGTTGGCAAAGCTACAAAAGATGGTGCTCTTGGTACTCCTAATGCTCCTATACATATGGTGGCTGTTGAAGGGGGTCATTTCAAAGAACAGTTGTGGCGTACTTTCCGGGCTCTTGGATTGGCCTTTCTCTTGATTTCAGGTGTTGGTGCACTCATTGAAGATAGAGGAATCAGCAAAGGTATTGAAGCTCTGTAGTTTTTTCTTGTTCTTTGTTGAGGTTATATGATTTGTCTATATAAATTCTCTTCTTGTTAATGATGTTAGCTGCCTCAGGACTTGGTCTAAATGAGGAAGTGCAGCCGACCATGGAAACCAATACAAGATTTGCCGACGTTAAGGGTGTTGATGAGGCTAAAGGGGAGTTGGAAGAAATTGTTCACTATCTCCGAGACCCTAAGGTGAGTTTGTATGGGAGGTTTATTCAGTAACCACAAGAGCAATATATTCTCCTGTCAGCGTCAAAATTAATATAAGAAATTTTATTATTTGTGTCGAAGTCCTTGTGTGTCAGTAAAAGTAATGCTGGAAAGTCTGATATTGCCCTTGATGTTACAGTTGAGATTGGAAATGCAGGGCCGAAGTATATCTCTTTTAATTTATCTGCCTTTTCCCACCAAAAGTTCAATGAAGATGAAAATGACCTGAGAACCTGACAAGGATATATGTAGCCTGAGACAGTGTTATCAAAGGGGAAAGCACCAAAAGCTCTATGATCCGTTGGGGCTTTAATCACAAAGCACAAATAGAGCATGGGCTTTAATGAAAAAAGGCGCAAAGGGAGAAAAACTTGCACATTTATTTGTTTAGTCCAAGACTAATAATTATAAACATGTGGTTGACAGCATACCCACATTGCTGAGGAATATAACTTTACCTTGCTCAAAAAACAAACTAATAATTATAAACATGAATGACAAATAAATGAACAAAATTGAAAAAAGATTAAGATAACGGGAAATATCGATTGTTTAGTGTCACCTCTTCAAAATAGGCTGATGGACAAGGAAAAATATGTCTTAGAAAGCGAGCGAAGCAATCATCACATTTTTAGCCTAGCTTCAGGGCTTAAGCAAACCTTCAGCGTGCATTTGACAGCACTGACCCGAGAACATCAACCATCTTTTGTTAGTTAAATGTACTAACTGTACATTTTTCCTTTTTCTTGTGAAAAATGGACTTGCAAATTTGCAGCAAGCCCTTCCTCCCCTCATTGTCTGGAAAAGCTTCTAAAAGTCTATCATTTGTCAATTATATCCCTATATGTGTGGTATTGGGGGGAAAGGAAGGGTAGAAGAACTGACAAAAAGATTATAAGGGTTATTTCCCTTGAGTTAATACGTAGCTTCTCATCATTCAATTCCTCAATTGGATTTTCACATGGCTGAATATGAAAAAATTTCAGTTATCTGAAAAATGACCCCTAATTCTTTCTTTTTTTTCCGAAGACTGGTAATTTAATGTAAACAGGTATACTGCACAAGCAGTTTAGTCCCCCAAAAGTATAAATAGAAAAGTAGTGAACTTACTATCTGTATAGCTTGTTGCATACTGTCTAGAACATCAAAAATTATTCAGCTTCCACTAAATATTCTTGCTTACACCAAAATAATGAAGGGGCCAAGCAGTTCATCTTCAACTTCTGAATACTGCAGTTTTTGTCTCAAAACATCTCTGATTCCTTTTTCTTCAACCAGTCCACCAAATGCATGCTGGGATGATTCTTCATCTCTCTTTCTGAATGGTTACATGCACATCTCTGCTCCAACTATTTAGCACATCCAATATACCTCCTGGCATCACCCTGATAATTTCCCCTAAGTTGATAAATTTTTTGCTTATCTGATCTGTCCACTCTCAATGTAAAAAAAGAGGGTCTGATTGTCTGTGCCTGTTCTCCATAGGTAAAATCTAGATCATAACTGGTGCCGCCTTTTTATCTGTGCACTCTCAGTATAAGAAGGCTTTATCTCCAGTTCACCTTTGTCAACTTTTCTGAAAGGGAAATTGGTGACAATTCTGATTTTTGACTCACACTCACATTGAACATATCAAAGTTTTCGTGCTGTTGCTAATGTATGACTTTCTAATTTGGTTGGTAATTGCACTTAATTGTGTCAATATCTTTTTAGATCTTATGTGTTTCCCTTAATTTTAATTGTGTTTGTTTACCATTGACCTTTTGGCTTAGTCTTGATGGGAGCTTTTCAGATGATTTGTTTTAAAGCTGCGAGGTAGATGTTTTTACAGTTCCTTATTTTGACCTTTGCAGCGATTCACTCGTCTTGGTGGCAAACTCCCAAAGGGTGTGCTACTTGTTGGTCCTCCTGGAACCGGTAAGACCATGTTGGCAAGAGCTATAGCAGGAGAAGCTGGGGTTCCCTTTTTCTCATGCAGTGGTAGTGAGTTTGAGGAAATGTTTGTGGGTGTTGGAGCCCGGAGAGTAAGAGACCTTTTTGCAGCTGCTAAGAAACGATCACCCTGCATTATATTCATTGATGAAATTGATGCCATTGGAGGAAGCCGTAACCCAAAGGACCAACAATATATGAGGATGACTTTGAATCAGTTGCTTGTTGAGCTGGATGGGTTCAAACAAAATGATGGAGTCATTGTGATTGCGGCCACTAACTTCCCAGAATCATTGGACAAGGCACTGGTGAGACCTGGACGATTCGATCGCAACATTGTTGTCCCAAATCCTGATGTTGAAGGTCGGAAGCAGATTCTGGAATCTCACATGTCAAAGGTATTGTTTCTGGACAATGAGGCATTTCTATATACCCTGCAGTTTCTAGGTCATTGCTCTCATGAACTATTTGTAGGGACATGCAGCTATTCTTATGCTTTTCTAATAGCCGACAGATTTTCTTTGACTATATCTCTTTTAGCTTTTTAAACAAGAAATATGCATGTACACATTGTCTTGCATCCTTTTTTCTATTGATGAATCTAATTCTATTGACCTATACTGTGAAATGATTGAAGTATTTGAAGACATCCTTTGGAATTAGTCTGACCTGGTACAATTGAGTTGCCTACTCGTGAAGGTTCATTGTACATATCTTCCCTTGTGGCATTTTTTATCCATCACATTTTACTTTGACATTGTTGGTTGGCAGCACCTATATTTATGTGAGTTTAATCTTGCAAGAATTTTCTACCATGTCAAACTGGAGTTGGTAGCCTCAAAACATTCCTTTGTTTCCACCATGCATGGTTCATTTTGACCATCTTTCTAAGCTGGATTGTTAACTGCAGATGCAACTGCAATTTTCAAGGGTTTTACTTAGCATCATTTCTAATCTTTCTGTCAAAAACATTTCCTATCTGGCAGATTGTCAAGGCAGATGATGTCGACCTTATGATCATTTCTAGGGGGACTCCTGGGTTTTCCGGGGCTGACCTTGCCAATTTGGTTAACATTGCTGCTGTGAAGGCTGCAATGGAAGGTGCTAAAGCTGTAAGCTTGGCTGATCTAGAGTATGCTAAGGACAAGATCATGATGGGAAGTGAGCGCAAATCAGCTTTCATATCCAAAGAGACGAGAAAGCTTACAGCCTACCATGAAGGTGGCCATGCTCTTGTGGCTATTCATACAGATGGGGCTCTTCCAGTGCACAAGGCAACCATTGTTCCACGTGGAATGGCTCTTGGTATGGTTGCTCAATTGCCAGAGAAGGATGAGACTAGTATGTCCCGTAAGCAGATGCTTGCTCGGCTTGATGTTTGCATGGGTGGACGAGTTGCTGAAGAGCTCATTTTTGGAGAAAGTGAAGTAACTTCTGGTCCTTCTAGCGATCTCCAGCAAGCAACCAATCTAGCCAGGGCCATGGTTACAAAGTTTGGTATGAGCAAAGAAGTGGGGCTTGTTACCCACAACTACGATGATAATGGGAAGAGTATGAGCACTGAAACGAGGCTTCTCATTGAGAAGGAAGTAAGAGAATTACTTGAAAGGGCTTACAACAATGCGAAAATGATTCTCACCACCCATATCAAAGAGCTTCATGCTCTTGCCAATGCATTGCTTGAGCAGGAAACGATGACCGGAAATCAGATTAAGGCCCTGCTTACCCATGTCAATTCTAAACAAACACAGCAAAAGAAACCTCAATTAGTCTCAGAGGAGAGTCCATCACAGCCCAATCCATCTCCTCCATCAAATCCGGCTGCTGCAGCAGCAGCAGCAGCTGCAGCCGCTGCAGCTGCGGCCACTGCCGCAGCCAAAACCAAAGGCATTGCTCCTGTAGGATCTTAGTGTGGTAACTTGTTGCTAGTTTTTATCAATCCATGTGCATATAGTGGATCATTCTCATGCATGTTTTCCACCCTTTCGTTGCTATCAAGAAGGTGATTAATGTGTGGAGGTGAGTTTTAGAGGTCAACGGAAATAGTAGCAGATAAATGTCATAAATACTGTCAAGTGTGTCATTTTTAGCTGACCTCTTTCTTCTGGTGTTGTAAGCCACTTAGCTGACCTTTACAGATCTTAGTTTGATTATCTGCAGACTCATTGCCAATTGAGTTGGACACTTCTCATGAGTATATTGTAAAATTAGGAGTGTCACAAACTTCATAGCTTTCCAATAATGCAATTAATGGTTACCTACCTTTTCTTTTGGCTTTTAGAAGCTGTTTAGCGAGGATTTTAGTGCAGTATTTTTCTTAATCACATAATTGTCATTTGAGGGCTCATTTTTTCCCCCTTTCTTCCTGTAATGTGGTTTTATCAACACGTTTTAATTGGTTTCGATCTTTAGATAAACTGATGTGTGGTATAAGTTTTATATAGTTCTAAATTTCTATAGTATTTTCTTTTTGAGAAATCAAAGTTTACATCTGCACCAAAATAAGATGCTCAATAACTCAAAACTTTTTCCAGAGTTTATGTGAACTTTTCATTTTGGTTCATAAGATTATTTTATGTTGCATTTGCACTTGAAGAGCAATTTAGTTCTTTTACCTCAAATTCCACTTGCTGTTACTATTTAAGGCTCTTATATGTTTTTGAATAAGTTGACCATCTATAAATTTTATACTTGAAAACCCAACTACATAGAAAGATCTTCGTTATAAGGTCTATTTATTGATTATATTACATTAAAAGGTTTCTAGACTCTCCATGATTGTCAAATTCTCTTCAGACTAATAAGTATATAAATTATTACTTTTTCCGTTTCATCTTATGTGAGTTAGTTTGACTTGACACGAAATTTAAAAAAGAAAGAGAGACTTTTAAAACTTGTGGTACAAAATGAATGATAAAATTTTGTGCAGCTATAAATCGTTTCATTAAGAGTAGAATGAACATTTTATAGTTAAATTACTATTTAACTCGATATTTCTTGTTCATGCTAAGCACGGGCCGAATATTTTAAATTTTGATGTAAATTCGTTGATGTTTAATCTACCTAAAAAATATAAATGAGATTCAAAATACTAATAAATGCTTTTGATTAGTCATAATTTTAAAACCATAGCACTCATTATTTAGTGAAGCTTACCCAATAAAAGAATCCACATCCAATAAAAACCATTAAGGTGCAGTCTTTTCTCTTAAATTTCAAGAATCAATTCAATAGTAAGTTGGTTGAATATTCAAAATTTGTTGATAAACAAGTTGTTTCTTTTGTTTATTATTATTTTAAAAAGAAGCATTTTATTATTGAACACCCTACTCATAATCACACATCATTATGAGTAGAATTTATTGATTCATTCGAAGTATAAAAGAGAACTGACGAACAAAAATAAGTAGAGAAAACGCATCCATTTTGCAATCACGAAACACATGCAATAGATGTAGTCTAAAAGTTGTCATCCCATTTTATTTAGGTCACGTATTTTTATTGGGTTAGGGAGAAGGTGGATAACGTCCTCGTTGTATTGCAATTTTGGGCACATGATTAGATAGTTGAAAAACCTTAGTAGTTCTATGTTGTTCTCTTATCTTCGAAATCAATCAACTTCAGATGAGCGTCCAAGCATACAATTTTCATCAAGGTGAATTTTGCGTACAGGGGACTCAAAATCTTAATATATACATAAAAAGTAAAAAAAATACCTCATAGGTACAGTGTAACTTTTTGCCGAGGAGGGCCAGGTGAAAACTCATCCCCCGACTAAACTCATTAAGTCAATCAAACTTATCCCAATGCTCCATTTCAATCATATTTCTTGCGCGTGAAAACGTTTGAAATATGCATCTTCAAAGTTCTAGCATTGAAATGAGCTGAGTTTCAAACTTCTTGTAAAAAATTAAGAGAATTTTATGCTACTTTTGCAACATTTACCCATTCCTAAAAGAAAGTTATGAGTTGAGTTCAGAATCTATCAGTATCAATTATGTGTCTTTATCTTTACAGAGGAAATGAATTAAACTAATTAATCTCTATAATCATCTCATACTTACATTACATCACTTCACGATTCAAATCTATTTCTGCCATAAAGTCCCATACATCAGACATAATTAAGTTCAATGGCATGAGTATGCAGGTGACACTTCCCAACTTTCGAAGTGAACATTATAAGTTAAAATTGATGATCAGTCAGATCTTATTCCTTCATTATAGCATATTTCATTATTTTGGGGAGTTGAATCTCGAATATAGGTTCATAGTTTAGCATTATTGTAATTATCAATGAGATTTTCTTTAGAAAGTTTATTGACGCCAGTTCTCAAGCAATTTCACCATCTTATGTTCTTGAGGAAAAAACGTTTTATGTTAATCAACTTTGAGTTTTATAAAAGTAACAACTTGAACAACTACCACTACAAGAAACCTTACTTATTGTGGCGACAATTGAACTGTGTTTAGTACTTCCATAACTAAAGATTATTGTGACGACAATTATCCTCGCCACTGTACATACCCTTTTTGTGGCGATGCTAATTAAGACAAATAATGAAACTTACACGCAACAAAAATATGTGAATTACACAATTTTTTTGCCAAGTGATAGTCTTAGTGGCGACTTTGTCGCAACAAAAGATCTATCTAATTAGTGGCAACTTTATCTCGCTACTAAAACTTAATATTTGTAGCGGCTCCTATCGCCACAGAACTAATAAACTATTTGTAGCAACTTCGATGTCGTTGCTAAAAAGGATTTTTAGCAACAAAAGTAATAGCCACGAATCTTGTATATTAATTTTTTGTAAAATTTACCTTTTAGCACTAACGATAGACCCTCCAATAACTATTAAATCATAAGATACCAATTCTGTTTATTTTTTTCTGCTCTCTAAAAATAACATATAACCACTGAAAGCAACCAGTACTATTTTATAACCTTCAAAAGTATTCTCAAGCCGAATAGTACAAGTACTTCCATCCTAGAAAGTTAACTGCATAGAAACCAGTAGTATTTAACAAACTTCAAAAGTATTCTTAAGCCGAACAGTATAAGAACTTCCATCCTAGAAAGTTAACTGCATACTACGTAGTACTACAGGTGACATTGTGTGTGTATACAAACGATAAAAAAACATTCATTGCACAACTTCAAGCTCATCCTTGGCCAGCCCCATTGTTTATGTGTTGAAATATGTGCGTCCACTACCAGTCAATGGACCATGTCCCTTGACACAGTAAAAACAGTGCAGAAGATTAAACAATATGAAGAACACAACACAAGCAGTTTACGTGGAAACCTCCTTACTCAAGGGAGTAAAACCACGACCTGTTGCATAGGATTTACAACCGTCTTCACTAATCTTCTCAAGAAAAAGTGAAACCCGGTTACAATCAATCTGAAAAAAAGTTATTAATCTCACGATCAAGTAATCTACCTATTACTTGAAGAGCCTAAGTGGATACCACACCGCCCACTAAACCACCTAACTCTAGATGACTTAGAATTTGACTAAGCAACAAAACAATGTTGCCCACTAAATCAGTTAACCTTAACTGATTTAGCCTTTTACAAACTCAAAACAAATATCTGAATCCTTTATAGATTAGGAACAGATTACAATGTAAGTACATAGACACAAAGCTCTAAATACAACAAAGATTCTTCTTTACTCTATCAGGTCCTTCTGTTGAGTCGAGTAATGTTCTTCCTTGAAGATGGCCTTCTGTTCAAGCTTGTGAATTTTCAGAAAAAATCCAAATTTAATTTGCCAAGTCTTGAATTTGTGTTTGTTGGAAAGAGATAATATCATTTCCCACAAATTTGTTGAAGTCATCCCATTGGCTGAAGACCTGCTGTTGGAAAAGTTGTGCACCTACCGCATCAGAGATGACAGCTTTTCTGATAGCTGTCTTTTCGTCCTTTTCACGTCGGTGTCTTGCAGGTACCAGGTTCCTTGCTTGCGAGAACCAGGTCCCTTGCAAACTTCTATATGAGTTCTTGAGAAGGCTTACTGGCTGACTTCCTTGTTTGGATGAATGAATATAATATGGTGTTTGTCATGCTAAAAGTATCAAATGTAAAGAGTTAGTATCCGTTGGACAAACACCCTCCTCCATTTTGATTGGTGTAGTACACTGACGCCTTACCAACCTCTGACGTGACAGCTTTACAGCTGTAACCAATTATATACTGATGGAGGAAACTCTGCCTGGTACGAGGTCCCTGCATTTGTGAGGTACTGAAACATACAATCTCTTCCGCTCTTCTTATTGGTGTAGGATACTGCACTTTTCACCTACCACCTGACATGACAGCTTTTATGACTGTACCCCACTTGTATCTGGACGAGAGCACTCTGCCAGGAGCCAGGTCCCCGCATTTGTGAGGATCATCAATATAACATTTCCCCCCTTTTTGATGATAGCACACAAATATACCTCACACTGAGTTTATCATTCATCTTATTTTCAGCAGTTCCAATAACAAGGATTTGGTTCCTTGTTAGATCGATAAGTTTGTTAAATCATCAAAACTTCATATCAAGTTCGAGCTATCATCTTAACTCAGCTTCGAACTAACATTATGAATCTCATTCCTGCCACTAAACAAAACATAATCACTTTGAAATTCTCATAATCCAATGATGATAATAAAAGGTAGACGTTGAGCAATTAAGTCTTTAAAAATCCATAATATTCTCTTGTAACTTTATATATCCCTATGCCTTTCTATATTTTGATACCACTTCTCTTTCGTAAATTATTCAAGTCCTATTTTTTCTTACATACATTTGTCGTTTTGCTTTTTATGAAGTAAAGAGAAGAGTAAGAAGAGAGTAATAAGAGAGAAGAGTAAGAAGAGACAAGAGGAAGAAGAAGAAGCTGCAGAGAGAATATCTCAGCAATTGTATTATTAGAATGATCCACTAATTTAGATACAATGATGTATTTATATTGAAGATCAATATATATAGAATTTTTTTGAGTAACTAACTTCTTGAATTGTAACTAACTTAATACTTGTAACTAACTTAACTACTATAACTAGTTTCTTCCAACACTCCCCCTCAAGCTAGGTAGTGTGAAAATGTTGCAAGTTCCTAGCTTGGAATTGAGATACAAATGTTGTACTGTATTAAGACCTTTTGTAAGTAAATCAGCTGGTTGATCTTTTATTGATATGTACCTTGTTGCTACCAACCCTTTGTCTATTTTTTCCCTTATAAAGTGGCAGTCTATTTCAATATGTTTGGTTCTTTCATGGTACACTGAATTAGCTGCAATTTGTATAGCAACTTTGCTGTCTGAGTAAATATCTATAGGTAGTTTCAAGTTCACTCCTAACTCTTTCATCAGACCTATAATCCATATTAATTCTGACACTGTGGCAGCCATGCTCCTGTATTCTGTTTCTGTAGAACTCTTTAATATGGTTATTTGTTTCTTTGACTTCCAAGTTAATAGAGAATCTCCAAATTTAACCATGTAACCTGTTATTGACCTTCTTGTATGTGGACATGAAGCCCAGTCTGAGTCACAGTAGGCTGTAAGAGTTGTGTTCTTGTACTAGACATTAGAATTCCTAAACCTGGTTGGTTCTTCACATACCTTACAATCCTTAGAGCAGCTTCCATGTGGGATTTCTAGGAGAAATTGACTTGAAGTATTGACCCCAAAGGCTATATTAGGTCTTGTCACAGTTAGATATAACAACTTTCCTACCAGCCTTTGGTATGCTCCTTGATCTACTAGTGGATCATTTGTGTTGGACTTTTCTAAGTTTCCTGATCTGATGTACTCATCAAACTGCTTAGTTGTTAACTTTACATTTGTGTCCATTGGTGTTGAAGCTGGTTTAGAACTGCTGAGTCTTGTCTCTGATATAAGCTCCATTGTGTATTCTTTGGTGCATAAGTATACCTTGGTCAGACCTGACAAACTCAATACCTTAAAAGTATCTTAGTTCTCCAAGATCCTTCATTTTGAAAAACCTGTTTTAACTTCTCTTTTGTCTCTTTCACAATTTTCAGACTATCTCCTGTGACTAATAGATCATCCACATACACAAGAATAATCACCATTCCAGATTCATCTTTCTTGATGAACATAGACTGATCATACTCACTTTGTTTAAACTTAAGTTCCACTAATGCCTTAGACAGTTTAGCATTCCACTGTCTAGGAGCTTGTTTCAACCCATATAATGACTTCACAAGTCTACATACTTGTTGTTTCTCCCCCTAACTTGTGAAATCTTGTGGCATTTCCATATATATTTCGTCGAACAAATCTCCTTGTAAAAATGCATTGAACACATCCATTTGGTGTACACACCATCCATTTTTTGCAGCTAGTGACAACACAGTCCTAACAGTTTTCATCTTTACTACAGGAGAGAATGTCTCTTGGTAGTCAATTCCTTCTTGTTGGTTGTACCATTTAGCCACTAGTCTGGCTTTATACCTTTCTACCTCTCCTGTGGATTTATATTTGACTTTAATATCCACTTGTAGCCTATCGGAGTCTTTCCTTCAGGAAGAGTTACTAAGTCCCAAGTATGGTTGCTTTGCAATGCTTCAATTTCAGACTTCATAGCTTCTATCCATCTTGGATCTTTAGCAGCTTCTGTATAAGACTTTGGCTCAATATGATTTGAAACTGCAGTTATGTATGCACTATATTTGTCAGATATATTCTCATAAATTAAATAGTTTTGAATGTCATAGCCTGATTCCTTATGAATGTTGAGAGATACAAAATCTTTTAACCAAATAGGTGGTTTGCTTCTTCTTCTGGACTTTCGATTCTGTTGAATATCACTAGTAGTAGATGGTTGTAAAGGAATCTATATTGTATCTTCATTTACCATAGTCCTTAACTCCTCATTATGTTGACATTGTTCCCTAACTTCATCCTATGTGTGTTGTTGAACCTTATGAGTAGGTGTAGCAATAGGAATACTGGACCATTAAAATGAATGACCTAATATTGAATGAGTGTCTTTAAACACAGGTTCTAACAATTTCCCTTTAACAAATGGAAATATTGTTTCATTGAATATGACATCCCTGTTAACAAAAAACACTTTATCAGTTAGATCATATAAAATATATCCTTTTTGCACCTCTGAATATCCTATATGAACAGACATTATAGACCTTGATTCAAGTTTATCATGTTGATTTGGCATTCTAGCAAAGCATAAACACCCTAGAATTCTTAGATGAGCTAATGATGGTTCTTTTCCATAGAGTTTGTTAAAAGGAGTTTTTCCTTTTAATACTGAACTAGGTAGCCTGTTTATCAAGTATGTTGCAGCTAAGACACAATGCCCCCAGAATTTTTTTAGGTATATTAGCCGGCAACCTGATGGCTCTAGTTATTTCTAGAATATGTCTATGTTTTCTTTCAGCTACCCCATTTTGTTGGGGTGTATATACACATGTTGTTTGATAAATAATTCCTAATTGTTTAAATAAATGTTCACATATTGAGTTAATGAACTCAGTTCCATTATCAGTTCTAACTATCTTAACTATTTTATCAAACTGATTCCTAGTATAATTCATAAAATATTGAAGAGATACATGAACATCAGATTTCCGTCTCAAAAGAAATATCCATGTATATCTTAAATAGTCATCTACAATTGTTAAGAAATATTTGTGTCCATCATATGTATTGGTTTTATAAGGACCCCATAGATCTACGTGAATCAATTCAAAACAAATATTACTTTTTATACTGTTATTCTGAAATGGTAATCTACACTGCTTAGCACAAGGGCATACTACACAATCCCCTATTTGATTTCTAATAGAAGTAAGTTCAATATCAAACAATTTATGTAATATTGAAGTAGATGTGTGTCCTAATCTTTTGTGCCACAGATTCATATTTATCTTGTCTGTTGACACACTCTTAGACTCTTGAGCATCTAGACTGATAGATCTTCTTGCATCTTTATTTAGTAGCCAATATAGCCCATTTTCCTCTCTACCAATCTCCCTCACCTTCCCAGTGAAGAGATCCTGCAAAACAAAAAAATCAGGGAAGAAAGAAGCAAAACATTGTAATTCTTTTGTTAGTTTTGAAACTGATAACAAATTAAATTTAAACTCTGGTACATACAATACATTAGATATAGTACTACCATCAGATATACTACTTAAACCAGTGTGTGTAACTTGTGTTTCGTCTCCATTAGGCAATTGTACAGTTCTATGATAGCCTAATTTATTATCAGATAACTTGCTTAGTAACTCTAAGTTTGAAGCCATATGATTTGTGGCTCTTGTGTCCATAATCCAAGTAGGTTTGTGAGACACTGTCATAGACATTGAGTTAGTCATACCTGCAGCGTTTGCAGCTATGTTAGACACAGAATCTTGTTTGACTTGACGACTATGTTGTGTTAGCAGCTTTACTATATGATTGTATTGTTCTTGTGTAAAATGATTAGCATCAACTTGACTTGGCTTGGATTGAACTTGATCCATGCTACTTGAATTTTTTCTATGACTATATACATTCGTATCAGAACCATACTTGAATTCAGGTTGTCCACTTCCAGCATGGATTACATCATTTTGTGTGCTCTCTTTTGTACTCACATTGTAAGCTGCACTCCCACCTTCAGAGTATTTTTTCATTTTATACTTGAATGAGGGGGATATCCCACTATTTTCCAACAATTATCCTTGTTGTGTCCTCTTATTTTATACACCTCACAATATAGATGAGAGTTCCTTGTGAACTTTTGATTTTCACTTGTTCTGCTGTACATAACAGCTTCATAATTGCTTGTATGTGACATTGGACTTGAACCCAACACTCCATTCATGGCTGACACAGACCTTTGACTCTCATCACCCATTACCATAGCATAGGCTTGATTGATTGAAGGTAATGGACTCATGAGCAGTATTTGACTTCTTGCTTAATTATATGAGTCATTTAGCCCATCAGAAAATGGAACAGTTTTAGTTTTTGTAGGTGCAATATGAACTCCTTGGATTTTTCACAGTTACAACCTGGTGGTGGTACCAAAGCCTCAATTTCCTTCCAAAAAGTCTTAAGTTTGGAGAAATAGACTGTTACAGAATTTACTCCTTGAGTTAGAGTGGCTATCTCCTTATGCAAGTTGAAGGTTCTTGAACCATCTATCTTGGTGAACCTTTCTTGTACATATTGCCACACTGCTTTTGCAGTGGCTGCATACATAATGCCACCTAGTAAACTCTTAGAAACAGAGTTCACTAACCAAGATTGAACAATGGCATCAACTCAATCCCAGTGATTCCACAAATTTTCACTATACCTTACTTTATCACATGAACCATCTACCATTCCCAGTTTATTTCTACCCAGCAAATCAATACGCATAGATAGAAACCAGATTGCATAATTTTCCATACCTGTTAACTGAAATGAAATGATCTGATTTCCACTAACATCTGATGGAGATAAGAACAATGGATGATTGTAGTCAATTTCTTGACCAATGTTGGCAGCTTGATTGATATTTGTTACTGGTTCATCATGAACTATATCATCCCCAACCATTTCCCAGAGATTTCTTCAACTTCCTTCACTTTAACAATAGATTAGCGGAAACAATAACACTGATTTGAAACCCAGATTTCACAGAGTCAGATCATCTGCTTTGATACCATGTGCTTTTTATGAAGTAAAGAGAAGAGTAAGAAGAGAGTAATAACAGAGAAGAGGAAGAAGAGATAAGAGGAAGAAGAAGAAGCTGCAGAGAGAATATCTCAACAAATGCATTATTATAATGATCCACTAATTTAGATACAATGATGTATTTATATTGAAGATCAATATAGAATCTTTTTGAGTAACTAACTTCTTGAATTGTAACTAACGTAATACTTGTAACTAACTTAACTACTATAACTATTTTCTTTCAACAGTCGTCCACAAATTGACGAGCACATATAATCATAATATGAGATTCAACAACAATGTACCCAGTGAAATCCCACCACAATATGAAATTCAATGTTCGCAATTTTTGGTTAACAATTTTTGCGTGTCTTTTTTATCTTTATTCATGAAGTCATTCCTACTCATACTGCAAACACAACTAACTCTTTCAAGAAAATTAATTTTAAAAAGAAATTTTGTAGCCTACATATGTAGGCCCAAAAGATTTACAATGATATACATGTTGGGATTGAAGTAATATAATAAGTTAGGTATGTAATTTATTCTAAGGAAGCAACACAAATTTTAGGTAGCGGTTAATTAAGTTATAAAATAAAATACACACTCGAAATTTGTTCAAAGAATTTAAGAAATAAAATGAGGAAAAGATAGGATCTATGTGCAATGAAAAGAACACACAGAGAAATGCTTAACAAATAATGAGGATATCAAAGAGGTGACTTGTTTGAGTTCACTAGGTGTAGACGAAGAGAACATATTCTAATTCCTTAGATTTATGAAAAATTGTTTGTCTCAAATGCTTTCTTTGGCAACATAAAATTTTGTTGGACTTTTGAAACGTACTACTAGTTATGTATACTCATGTTCGTAGTTGGATTCATGAGCAGGAACACAACAAAAAGACCACCACCCCTAATTCAACTATAATTAAGTTTCTTACCCTCACTTTAAGTCATCTATCTTCTTTTAACTCTTTTCCTCTACTAAAACTTTATTATGATAACACATAATAAATTATTATTTTAAGACCCTTTCCTTAATATTTCCTATCTTTTTGTCTCCCATTTTAATTCTCTTAGAGAAGATCAAAATGTGTCATGCAGCACAAGATCACTTGCAGTCATTTCATCCCCTATGCTACACTAGTTTCAACAGGCCACACAAATGATTTTAAAAAAAAATCAAGATACATGTGCTTAGTAACTCTGATTTTGAGTTATGCATCGATAGTGTATAGATTTTCTATATTATCATATTAAGTTGAATTACTAACAATCAAGGTCGTGAAAGTCACTAATAGCAGCAGAATACTAAAGTTTTCTAGAATCCAAATACAAGTTCAAATTTCACCAGATTATAAACATCAAAAGCAAACACAAATTTCTCATAAAATACACAGTTCTTAAAATACTTGTATTTTCAAACTAGCACAGGATTATTAAATCATATTTATCTCAGGAATTTTATCACACACTTTTACCTCTAGAGATGCCTCCGTAATCTCTATTGGTTGTATTTGTAGCCAAGACGTCGTTCCAGAACTTCCAGCTCCTCGAAAATTACAACGTCCACGACCTATCCTCCATCTCCTAGTTTTATCTCATCCAATTCCTTTTATTTCACATAACATCATATAAGAATAGAAAAGGAGAAGTATCAAGATCAAAAAACAATATGATAAAAGCAACCAGAGACATAAGAATCGACAATGTTGATAATGTGAGAAATTACAAAATAATCTTCTTCAGTTTCAGATCGTTGGTATCTCCTCTGATAAACATATTGGCTATAACAAGGGAGTCTAACACCAAATGAAATCTTCTAAAACCATTCTACTTATACCATATCTAGCAGCTTACTTTCTTCTTTGTTATTGCTTGCACAATAACGACAATGAGGAAGGCAAAAATCTTGTTGCCATTACTCTCTAAATATGCCCCAAATTCAAGCCTTCGTTTGTATTACCTTTATCAACCTTCATCTGTATTACCAACTAATAAAAAGATGGCCAATACTCAGAAAATACAATATCTAGAAGATGTCAAAGTTAAAGTAGCCTAGTTATTCAAAATAATCTTAAACTCAATGCTGAACAATATAAGTTGTATTTGTTCTCCATACCAGCAAGAATCTAAATTTAGCTCGGAACAAATTATGCCCAAATAAATCTTAAACTCTGAAATTGGCTATGTAGTAGCAAATGAAGACAAAAAAAAAAGCATTGGCGTTCTTATTATTAAGGAACCGTTACGGTAAGAGGTAGAGCAGAAGAGCATGTAATGTGCATATAGAGTGAATAATTAAGGTTGAAAATCAAAGGACTTTGTGTACCAGAGTTGGACAATTTTGACAAATTAATCTTGAAAAGTTTTGACACTTAACAGATCACAAATAAGAAGTGTGTTTCATGGTTTTTAAGTCTCCCCCGTGATATTGAGCTAGGACGGTGTGGGATCTCAATTATTGTAGTGCACTGTGAGTTAAACTTACATCCATAAATTCGGTATATCTACAACATGTGAAATAATAGTAGAATGAAATGATAGCAGTTTTAAACACATCTATTGCTATGGAGGTCGTGATTTGAGAAGCTTGCCTCGATTAATGGCAGTCTTTGTACTAAAGAGGCCATTTTGGGTTAAGAACCATATGTTTGAGATTTTGGGAGTTATAGTAACTATGTTCCGCATTCATTCTCTTCTGGTTTTTCTTTGTTAGGTTATAGGTCAATAAAAATTGCACAATATTCAGCAAATGCTTTATACGTGACACCCTCAATATAAAGATTTTAACTTCCCTATCACTACGTAAGAAAAAGTATGGGCTTAAAAAGTTCTTCCCAAGAAATGTCATTGTTAACCTGGTTTCAGATCAAAGTAAGAACTAAAACAGTTTCTATTCACTGAAGATATAAACACAAATGAATATTAAGAGTGTATGAAGTTTTCCAATTTTTTCATATTTGCTTGGGACAAAAGTTTTGGAAAATGTTTTTCAAATCAACTCATTTTTCTCAAAATTAAGGAAAATGATTTCCCTTCAAAAATTAAGGAAACATTTTCCAAAACTCTCCTCCAATTTCAAATTACATTTTTTTTGGAAAAAACATCAATTTTAAAAAATATTTTCAATTTCAAAATTTTATTTTTTCACCATATCCCTACCTCCCTCATCCACCCACCCACCAACCCCACCCCCTCCCCAAAATATAATTTTACTTTTAAAAAATATTTTTAACTTCAAAATTTTATTTTTAAAACTCCTACCCCCGTCTCCCTCCATCCCCCAACCCCCAAAAAATTAATTTTATTTTTTTAAAATACTATCAACTTCAAATTTTTAGTTTTTCACTCCTCCCCTGCCACCACCCACTACCCCCCAACCCACCCCAAAAGAATAATAATTCTAATTTTAAAAAATATTTTTAATTTCATAAATTATTTTACTCTAGTAAAAATAAAAGTTGTCTCTAAAAAAACATTTTTCATTCATAAATCAAACACTAAAAATTATTTTCGAAAAATATTTTTTAGTCACCAACCAAACATGAGAAAATAAGTCAAAAATCTACTTATTTTTCAGGAAATTTTTTTTCTAGGAAAACACATTTTCCATGAAAAACATTTTTCTCCATACCAGACACACCCTAAAGGATAAAAAAAAAGTTAAAGAATACTATACAAATGATGGATATACCGAAGAATGGTGAGTTCATCCATCTCATATGTAGTACATATACATATACATGCTAAAGATAGAAGCATTTTGTTTGTAGTTGGTTTCTTGTTGGGAAGTAGACTCCTAACCACCTCTTACATTCTTGGTTCAATTAGTTTATCTATCTGACTTTTTTTTTTTTAATGAGTTTTAAGTGAAATCCTCTTTACCTATATAATTTGACTTCATATATAGGATCAGAAATATTTTTTAAAGTTTTATTTTAGTTAAAAAATGCCCCTAAATCTAATGATAAACTAGATGATACTCATATGAAATATCAAGTGACTTCACTTTGTTTGGAGGATGATTGTTACATATTATTTCATAACAGAAATACAATCATTCAATGTAACCTTTATATTGGCCATTCTACACATACACACAAAAGTCCAAAGAGTAGAGTATATTGGGCTGAAAAGTAAACAATCCTCATGAAGAAATAAAGTAGGAAAGTTAGAACTAGTTTTACCCAACTCTGTTTTAAGAAAAAATGTTCATGTTCTGCAAATTAAAGTATTTTATAACTTTCTTATAACTCACAAGTCAATAATTCAAAACTAATAGAGTACATCTTCAAAACAAAAAACCTAAAAGGAGCTATTTTCTCTGGATAAATTATTAGAATCAAGATATTCAATGCACTGGAAACATGCAATCACAATAACATAAAAGGGTATAATATTTCAAAAAGGAAACTTTTAGCATACACAAAGAAAGAAAAAATTAAACACGATTGTGAAGACCGAAAGCCACAAAATACAAAAAAATAAAAGAAGAAGAAATAGGGATAAACAAGAGTTATACCTTCAAAACATCGAAACTTCTAATTGTTGGGAAAAAATTCATAACAAAAATAATATTTGCAGGCAATAAATGCGGAACACAACAATACGGTTAATCAACGAGAATAAGAGAAATAATGACACCAAGATTTTACGTGGAAACCTTCCAAAATAAGGAAAAATTCACGACCCAAAAGGAGCAACGGATATCACTATAGTAAGGATTTTACACTTGTATATCTGAGCAAACCTCCAAAGATCACTACACACTCAAAAGAAATAACTCTCTTTTGATTTTTCCACCTCACTATAATATCGCTCACACTCTCTATTTTTCCTCACAGATTATTTTTCTTCTGCTATGCCTTACTCTTC